TATATATATATAAAACTATATAGTATCATATTTTGTCGGGCATTTAGTTACATAACACACAATTCTTATATATATACATATATAACCCTTAGGCTTTCATATTCAATTACATGCCACTCACATTTTTTATATTACATAAAAAAAATATTATTAGTACCAACTTTTTAAAACTATCAAAGATTAGAGCATTATATTTCATGCATAAATTTTAACAGTGTTTAAATATAAATATCAAAGATTAGAATATTATATCATTTTTCTTATGAAACATCAAATGATAACTTTATATGAATTTGATGCATATGCTTTGTCAATGCATGCGAATTTTTATTTTGTTAACAAAACTTTTTATAAGTTAGCATAAATAAATGAGCATTTTGTTGAGATCTTAACAAATCGGTCATTAAATAATAAATGAGTATGTTCATAAATTTATTTCATCGTGTATATTAAAAAATGATCTGCATGGATCTCAAGAAATTTGACGGTTAATGATAAAAAGGCTATGATGCCATCTGCCCTTCTCTTTAAAACAGGGTTAAATATGCAAATTTTTATATATTTTTCACCCCTCTTATCTTAATAGAAAAGTTTTATGATGTATGGAGACTCTCCCCTCACTTGCTATAAATAGTTATGTGGAATAAGAGGGGTAAGAGAGCTTGGCATGAAAGTCTTCCTCTTTTTCTCTTCCTCACTCACTCTTCTTCCCTCGGCCCACACGATATATCAGTTTGATTTGGATTCAACACATCCCTTGTAAGACTTCAAAAAAATTAATCAAATCTTATTGAATTATATCTAAATTAATTATAAAATTTATAACTATGCAATTGATGCAAATGTTTTTGCAATACATGCAAAATTTTTATTTTGTTCACGGAACCTTTTAAGAGTTTACATAAATAAATGAACATTTTTCTTAGCCCTATACAAACTAAGCATAACAAATGATTATGACATCGTCAGATCATCAAAACACCAAATATGATACCTTTTAAGACCCTATCTTGCATACACTTAAAATTTTTCTCAATATAATTCTAATTCTCCACGCGCGCGTGTGTGTATTCACAAGTGTTTTGTGATAATCATAACTCCCACCAATCAAGATATTATTTTCTCTGACCTTGTGGCCTCATGATTGTTCCATCAGAATAACTTCTCAGAAGGTTACCCATCCTAGAAGCGCTCCTATACCAAAAAGTTTGATTTTGAAGTTTTGAAAAACAAAATCTAAACGTCAATATAAGACGCCTCAATGTTTCTGAGTTCAGTTTCATTATACCAGGGGGTTTCACATATTTGATCCCAAGCAATAAAATAAAAAAGAATTTTAGGGGCAGATCAAGTCATTTATGCTATGGATGACCCCCATTGAAAAGAATAGTACTCACTTCTTATCTTGAGAGAGAAAAAAAAAGAAATGAATGATTCAACATTCCACCTACTTTTTAAACTAAAAAAAGATGAAAAAGATGAGCAAAGCAAAACATTCACAGCCCTCACATATGTAAGACATTACTACCACTCCACTAATCTTTGCTATACAATATGCTTCTCTACTTTATGGGGAAGATAAAAAGAGAGAGAGAGAGAGAGTCAAAATTAATCACCAAAGAAGCACTGCCACACACACACACACACACATCTACTGACAATCCAACCTCCCATTCTTTCATTAGAAAAGCAACAATAAAGACAACCTAATTGAACACTGTTATTATGTTGCAGCATTTATTAAATAGGAAATTTACATAATACCCCTCAATTCTCATGTATTTACATATCTAACCGTAACCGCTAAACTTCAATTTTTACATATATATATATATATATATATATATATATAAGAAAATTGGTATTTGGCAGATGCCCAAATAACAAGTTCCCATGCACTATGCCTCATGATGAGAGCCCGCAACATGCGTCTAAATATTCGAGAATCCAACGACACTGGAGATCAAACCTGTGATCTAAGAGGACTTACAGTGAATTCCGCCAATCAACAGGTCACGGCTTGCGGCACAAACACACACACATAAATATATATATATAAATATATATATATA